GGGGCACCGCAGACGGGAGGGGCGAGGAGCCGGTTCCAGGGCCCTCGGATGAGCGCCTGGATCCAGCTGCTCCTGAAGCCGGGTGTAACGCGTTATAAACAAAGCCTCTAGGCTCTGCAGTGAGTTAGCGCACATGCACACACACATACGTATTTAAATTTTTTTTCTGGAGCAAATCTGGATTGGATTTCTGCTTGAAGCCGAATGGGCTCTGCCCAGTTTGCCCGCCATGTCTCTGCCCACGGACATGTCCTTGAGAGCACCTTCCTCCCGGCACCTTGCTCAGGCAGCAGGACCGCCTCTGGCTTTCCCTGTGAACGTCCTGACTCCCACCCCCACAGCACGGTGCAGGCGGCTCCCCCTTTCAAGAACCTCAGTCTCCCAAAGGAAAAACCGACAGAAGCATCTACCCCTTGTCTTCTCACGTCACGGAAGAATCTGTTAGGTGACAGGCGCCACGTCAGGCCGCACTTGGCAAGCGCTGACACGTGCATTGTGCCTGAACTGGCAGGAGCCTGATTCACGGGCGCTCCGACCAGGAGGGGCCCCGGTCACTGCCTCCCTGAACCGGAGAACGCAGATTTCACTTACACGGTTTATTCTCATTTCTTACTTACGTGTTTGTTTATTCTCATTTCTTTCCGAAAAAGAAACAAGGAAGCTCTGATGCCAATGACATGCACGGAACACCCCCCGACACACACACACATGCATGCACGTGCAAACACACAGGCACACGCACACGGGCGCTAAGCGGTTGACACTCTAGAAACGGAAAGAGACCTTTCCAAGCCCGTCTGTCAGGCTCTGCCCTGGGCCTTCTGGACTTAGGGCCATCGCTCAGCCCAGAACCTGTCTCGCACCCGGTTGGCTGCCTCACGAGGACCCTCCACGGGCAGTGACGGTGCTCGTGGGCGCATGGCTTGGGACGTGGGCCCAGTAGTCCTGGGACAGAGGGACCGCAGGCAGCTCAGCGAGTGTGGGCCTGAGCCTCGCCCTGTGGCTCACTCTGGACACACGTGCTGCAGAGTGCTGCCCAGGCCGGGCATTAACTCACTCACGCCCTGTAGCAAGGCTTTGGGAAGCAGTGCTGTCCCCACTTTAAGATGGGGAAACTGAGGCAGGACAGACCAGATCCCTGGACTGAGATCCCAGGCGCCTGGGTATGGAGCTGGCACCTGTGGTCTGGAGACTAAGTGGGGGTGGGGGCGTCCCTCGGGGGCGCAGGCTGGGCGTCGGGGAGCAGGGGCTGCGGGGTCCCTGCCCACACCTGGACCGCTCACGCCGCCTTCCTCCTCCCGGGGGCTGCAGGAATTAGTGCTCTCCCCTGTCCGTGGCTGGGCCACACGCAGTCCGCCAGTGCCGAGGACGCCAGACGCGCTCCCTCGAAGCACCTACGTGGACAGGGCCTGCGAGCTGAGAGAGGGACGTGGCGGCTGCCAGCCCTGTTGTCCCATCTGAGCCCCAGCTGACAGCCTGGGACAGGCTCTGGCCCAGAACCTCCAGCCGAGGCCTTCCCGGAGCCAGGACAGGATTCCGGCCATGGGGCTCTGTCAGGTGACAGCCAGTTACGCAGCTGTAGGTGACCAGAACCCGGTGAGGGGACCACCTGAGACAGGGCCGCAGAAGGCCGACAGCTAGGGTCTTCCGCTCCACAGATGGCAGCAGCTCCATGTTGTCACGTCGGGGCCGGCGCTTAGTAGGCCCTCAGCAAATGTTTACGGACAATTAAATGAATATGTACATAAACGCAAACAGTCTATGCCCATTCGAAACATTCGGGTTCAGATTCCTGAATGGCCTTAATCCCCAGGAGCCTGTCCATCCAATCAGAAACGGCCCTACAGGTGGGCTCTGACAGGTGCAGTCATCAGGAGCATGCACGGGACGTCAGAGGGTGTGCATGCCTGTGCGTGACTGCGTGTGCATGTGTGTGCCTGTGCCCGTGTCTGCGTGTGCCTGCGAGTGTGTACCTGAATGTGACTGTGTGTGCCAGTGTGTGCCCTCGTGTGCCTGTGCATCTGCATGAGCACGTGTGCGTACGTGTGCCTGCACGTGTGTGCAGTGTTCCCAAAGGCAAGTCCAGCAGAGTCCCAGTGAGAGCTCCCCCACTAACACAATATTGATGTCCCTTTTCTGGAGGTATACGGCTTTTCTAATTAAGCAGCGGCTTTCATTATGCCACAAAGCACAGAACACAGATCTTGATTATTAAGCCTGGCCCGTGGGACCGTGGAAGGGAGACTCGCACCTCCCGGCTACGCGTCCCGGAAGCGGCAGCCTCACCCAGGCCGCGTCCTGCGTGCCAGCGCGGTCGCGTGTTCGCGGAGTCTTCCTGCGTCTCGTCTGCAGCGCGCACAGCGTGGCCGTCACGTCGGACACAAGCAGGCGTGTGGGGTGAGGACGAGGCTGAGCCCACGTGCCAGTCCCTGCTGCCTGCGGGGCCTGGTCTGACGCCCTCTGTGTGAAGGGCCTGCGAGTGAGGGCGGGTGTCGTCATGGAGACGAGCCGGGCCTACGGACTGTCCCACGGGGAAGGCACTGGCGCCGTCCGCACCAGGAGTGGACAGTCCCCTCCTCACCAGGCCACCCCCTGCCTTCCCGCCGGCCCCCCCCCTCTGTGCCCAGGTACACGTGCCCTGGCGGGGAGCGGTGGCAGACTCCCCCCGCTGTCTCCTCTGGAACCCGGCTTGGCGGCTCGTCCTGCTTTAGGGTCAGGGGCTCACGGAAGCCGGACAGGACAGACGGACCGTGTCCCTGGGGGCCACTGTACCTCCGTGCCCACCGGGATCCTGCCTCAGGCCCTTGGTGGCCCCGGCAGCAGGAAAGCCGGCATTGGTGTGGCCCTGCTCACTGAGGAGGCCCCAGTCACATCGATGTCCCCAGGAGGGCAGGCGTGTCACACGCGAAAGGCTGGTGCCCCCAGCAGGAAGGCCCCCACAGAGATGTCACAGGCAGGAGCCATCCGGGTGACACGCTGCCAAGAACACTACCGCAGCAGCCCCCAGAAACATCGGTCCCAGTCTGAGGACACAGCTTCCCGGCCTGTGCGGAGCCCTCAGCAGGAGGAAGTGTGTCTCGCTGTCATGCAGCAAAGCTCGCTGTTCCCCGGGAGGGACATGGTCACCTCATCTCCAGCAGCACAGGGGGCGTCTCCATAAATTTTCATTTGTGTCTCTGCGACAACCAGTGAGGTCAGCAGGACGCCACCTGCCACACGCTCCACCCGAGACCTGGAAAGCGGCTTTGGGAGCCTCGTCACCACTGCCTCTCTATAAATCCTGCCGGAAGCGCCCCGTGTGGCAGAGGCCTTGCTTTTCGGGGGACATGGGGTCTGAGCCCGCCGTCCGTAGGCGGCACCCACGTGAGCCTGGCACCGTGCAGGGTCACCGTGCGTCCACGGAAAAGTCGGAATCGGCCCGTTCTGGTCGTGATGCTGCAGCAGATGATCCTACACTTCGTGGGCTGAAGCCATGTGTTGATGGCCGCGGAGGCCGGAATCCGGACAGGTGCAGGCGACCTCTCTGCACGGCACCTTCGCGTCCACTGAGCGGGCGTGACGGTGGGGTCAGGCACACGGGGCCCAGCCTCACGGCCTGGAGACGGTGCCCTTTTTCAAGGATGTGGGAGCCGAAGCCAGAGGAGGAAAGTGCCTCCAGAGGGGCCGGCCAGCTGGACGCTTCGTGCCTCCAGGTCAGGGCAGGGAGGGCAGGCAAGGCCGTGGGCCTCGCCGGAGCAGGTGGTGTGGAGCGGTGGCCAGCCGGACACCAAGGGGAGCAGAGGGGCGGCAGCCGCGGCGGGGAGTGGCCCCGGACACGGCCGACCTGCTGTCCGGGGAGGCGCGTGGACATGGCCGTGGGCTGGAACGTTGGGACGCGATCGACTATGTTTCAGGGTGACATACACCACCTGCCGGGCTTCAGTTTTAAAGGGAACCAGAGCCTGGCGGATGGGACTGGCCTGGGATTCTCTCCACCACCCGAGGCCCCGGGCCTCTCTGTCCCCATGCCCTTGTCCCCTCCCTCTGTCGTGTGTCCACCGAGACCCCGGCCAGGCCCTCGGTCGCCGTGGTGACGAGCCCTCGGCAGCAGCGCTCCGGGGGCTGCACTTGTCCCCAAAAGCCACGACTTGGCTCATTTTTTGCCTGACGGGAATCGTGCTCCTGCAGCCCAGGGCAGAGCCCCGCGGTCCCACCGGAACCCGGTTCCTCCGCGGCTGCAGCTTGGCGCTGTGTCTGTTTCAGATCTCTTCCCTGGCTCGGGCCTGGGGACGAGGCGGGGGCTGCGAGCAGCCGAGGTCACAGCTCAGGGCGGGGGGGCCCCAGCGGCTGACACAGAACTCGGGGAGAGCTGGGGACTCGCGACGTCCACCCCGGAATGGGGTGCAGGCACGCGGAGATGGCCTCGTCCACGGACGCCACGCGGTCCTGGGACGGGCACAGCCCGGTGGCCGCGGGGCCCGGCGTCCCGTGGAGCAGGCAGTGTGGGGGCGCGGGCAGTCACGTCGCCCATGCTGAGCCTGAGCTCACGCGGCTGGCGCCGGGGCGTCAACGTGCTAGGCCGTCAGCGGGAGCACAGCGGTGACGCGCCCCATCGGGGACGGAAGCGCCTTTCCCTTGAACGGGGCTGGTCCCGCCTTATCCTTTGGGTCTCGTTTGAGCGGAATTGGGTCCCCCCAAAATTCACATGCTGCAGCCCTAAGCCCAGGACCTCAGGACGGGACCGTGCTGCAGGTCAGGACTTTAAGGGGTGACTGAGATAAAGTGAGGCCCCAGGTGGTGTCCTTCTAAGAAGAGGAGGTCGGGACACAGACACAGAGGGACGACCCTGTGAGGACGCGGGGAGGACACGGCCGTCTGCGCGGCCAGGAGGAGCCAGCCCTGCCCAGCCCTGGATCTCAGACGTCCGCCCTCCAGGCTGGGGACTGGAAACGTCTGCCGTTTACGCCACCTGGTCTGCGGCGTTTGTTACAGCCACCGTGTAGGCTGACACAGGTCTAAACCCACGGTCACCCCCTCATGGCCTCTCCCGTCCACCTCATCTAAAGACGCCCCAAGGCGCTCCCCCCGCATCGCCCCATTTCCTCTCTGCTCACCCCCTTCACGCTCTGAGGTCACACTGTGCGGCTGTCAGCTTCCTCTCTGGCTCCTGCTGTGACAAGGCCTGCCCCTGGAGGCGGTGGACCTGCTCAGCAGCGCGCCAGCAGTCGGGGCCCTGAGGGTGGGTCTGTCTCTGCGGCACACGCAGATCCTCGACCTCAAGGTCAAGGCCAGAGACAGTGAGCATCTACTAAGATCAATGCAAGCCGCTGTTCAGGAGACACTGACTCCGGCGGAAGCCCAAGTAGCGTTGGAATTGGGAGACAGAGGCACCGGGTGTTCATGAGAAAGGGTGGGGAACACAGAACGAAGGCGTTGCCGTCGGCGCAGAAAAGCTCCATGGTGACGTGAACTCGGAGCGGTGTTTCTAATTTCCAGCCCGGTGGCCGTGGCATCTGCTGCCTTGTTCCCTTGCACACGGTTCTTGGGGACGCTCGTTGCTCAGGCCCCATCCAGGTCACATGGTCCATTTTCAGTGTTCCAGGGCCTGAGGGGGCCGAAGACGTGCACGGCGGGCCCCCTCCGAGATGCAGCTCCGGCTCCCTGTTCGCAGACCTCCTTTCTCGAAGTTTTCTTCCTGCTTTACACGAGTTGCAAGTCCATGGAAATCGTGCACCCCGATCTTTTCTCTCTCCAGAAAACTGGAGTGGGATTCTTGTCAGCGTTTGTCTGGGTGAGGAGGCCCTGTGGCCCGCGTGAGTGACGCACAGCTCCCGTCAGCCTCGGAGAGTTGCCCTGGGGCTCGGGGGCCCCCGCCTCAGGGCCTGCTGCACCCAGGCCCCCCGTCCCCGCCACCCTGAAGCGGATGCGGCACCCGGTGCGTGCGGGGGAGGTTGCCCCAGGTCTCGGGTCCTGGTCTTCATCCCAGGGACCTGCTTCCCGCTAGGGTCCCGTGGAGTAGGTGGCAGGCGCTGTGCCCGCGGGCGTGAGCACC